TGTTTGTGTGTGTGTGTGTGTGTGTGTGTGTGGGTGCATGTGAGGAACTGGAAAAAGGGCGCTAGCGGAACTTGCGGCTCAGGAGGCTGACAATCAGTGGCGGCATCTGTCTTCTATCTCAAAGGTGTGTTTTTGTGTGTGTGTTTGTATGTGGTTGTGTATGTGGGGGGGAGGGGTGTGTGTGTGTGTATGTGTTTGTGTGTGTGCGCGCGTATCTGTGTGTGTGGCAGAACTGGCGGCTCAGGCTGCACACAATCCCTGGCGTCTTCTGTCTTCTATCACACAGGTGTGTTTTTGTATGTGTGTGTGTGTGTGTGTGGCTGTGTGTGTGTGTGTGTGTGTGTGTGGTTGTTGTCTATGTCTGAGTGTGTGCATGTTTGCACCTGTGCATGTCAGTATGTCTATGAGTATGTGTCTGTGTAATGTGTGTTTGGATGTGTGTTTAAGTATGTCTGTCTAGAGCCTGAATGCATGTGTGTATGCTTAATTAATCTTTTCAACATCTAATGGTACAGTCTTGAGAAAACTTCAAGTTAATGCCATATACATTTTTGTGTTTGGACCTAGAATCAGGACCAGATCACCAAAGATCTCACAGACTTGAACAGCAAGCGAGAAGCTGAGCGAGAAGAACTGTTGCAATACTTGACTGATGGTGAGTCACAAAAATATTTTTGTCGTTGTTGTTTTGTGTGTGTGTGTGTGTGTGGTGTGTTGTGTGTGTTTGTGTGTGTGTGTGTGTGTGTGTGTGGTTGCGTGTGTGTTGTTGTTGTGGTTGTTGTTGTTGTCACTGGTGTTGCTATCAACCCCGCAGCTCTTGGGCCTTTGCTATTATGTCAATACCAAAGGGTAATATCAATGAAAGTACAGTGCAACCAATGAGTTATTGGGAGTGGTTAGAGTTTGCCACTTGCAGATCCTACTTACTCTCCCCTTGTTGTTTCTTTTTTCTATCGGTCTTCCTTTCAATCACATGTATAATGATTGTTCCAATATGCTTCTCTTTTCTCAAACTTAAACTTAGCAAATAGCAGATTTTGTATTACCCGTTATTAAACGATGATATGTTGTAGAAGTATTTGACTCATAGTGAACTACAGAAGTACCGGAGTAGTGGCAAATGGCAGGATTATTTTATTTGACGGCGAGTCACAGAAATACATTCATGGCAGTATGTAGCAAAGCGTTTATGTAGTCGAAGTTCTAGTATATAATTGATTCTATATTTCTTGTCTTTATGAAAGGATTCAAATGCTTAGAGAGTCCATTTGATGTTGTTGTGATTATTTTGATTGAGATGTAATCCAACCTATCAGTGCGAACTTATCTTGTTTGTGAAAGTTATCCCCTCCCAAATCCAATTCGATTGTTACCAAGAAAAACCAACCTGGCAGATTTTTAGAAATAAAATTGTGTTGTGCCAAACTTTCATCAATGTACAGACATGTGGTCAGATTAGTCATGGCGCTGGGGATTGTAATGCATAGGAAGGCTCTTTGCCTCACACGCAGAAGGCATGAGTTTGATTCCTGTTTGAGCAAGATATTCCAACATTGTTTGCGGGTGATTGGCAGGTGCTCTGGTGTGGTTTGCTCCTTCTGTCCTATTTTCTTTTTTGTGTTTGTTACTCGCTTGTAACCAATCGCTTGAATGGAATTCACCAGTAGTGGTCAACTTCATTGATTATGAAAAGGCGTTTGACAGCGTGGACAGGGAAACTCTGTGGAAACTCATGTGGCATTATGGAATACCTGACAAAATCATCAAGCTTGTGAAGACCTCCTATGATGGAACACATTGCCAAGTCTTCCACGGAGGACTACTCTCAGAACCATTCCAGGTACAGACAGGAGTGCGACAAGGATGCCTGCTCTCACCTTTTCTCTTCAAACTTGCTATTGACTGGATCATGAAGGAAGCCACCAAGGAAAGTGCAATGGAATACAGTGGATCCCTTGGCAGCAGCTGGACGACTTGGACTTCACTGATGACCTTGCACTGCTCTCTCACGCACATGCTCAGATGCAAGAAAAGACCAAGGAACTCAACAGGCTATCAAGGAGTGTTGGCCTACGTATACACCCGGGCAAGTCGAAAGTAGTGAAGCTTGGGAAAGTGTCAAGCCCTGCTGTGACAGTGGAAGACAGTCCCCTAGAAGAAGTAGACTCCTTTACCTACCTTGAAAGTGTCATCGATGGTAAAGGTGGAACTGAGGCAGATGTAAAAGCAAGAACCGCCAAGGCAAGATCAGCATTCAAGCAATTATCAAAAGTCTGGAAAGCAAGCAACATCTCACTGCACACCTGGATTCGACTCTTTAATTCCAATGTCAAGGCTGCGAAACTTGGACGACAACAAAGACAGTGCTAAATAAAGTCCAGACTTTCATCAACAGATGTATGAGGAGTATCTTAAGAATTAAGTGACAGGATAGAATTAGAAATGAAGAGCTATGGGAAAGGACAGGACAAAAGGATATAGAAGTACAAACAGGACTAAGAAAGTGGCGTTGGATGGGACACACCTTCAGAAAGCTCAGCGGAAACATCACAAGACAGTCACTGCAATGGAACCCACAGGGAGCACGAGGCAGGGGTAGGCCACAAGAGACATGGAGGAGATGTGTTGAAAGGACATGAGAAAGATGGAGCTCACTTGGAACGAGCTAGGAAGGGTGGCCCTGGATAGAGATAAATGGAAGGAGCTTGTATGTGGCCAATACCCTGCCAGGGGTGAATGGCATTGATGACTCTCTTGTAACATCACTAATCTTAGGCATTTATATGACCTTATTGTGTTGTAAGTGCCGTAAAACTTTTATGAAAACTATAGCAACACTGTTTCTCAAGTGGTTAGATGATAACAATTTATAAACTCTTGTTCCATGTGTTTTAAAAATGACTTCTTCATTCCATTGTTGTCAGTTATCATCATATTCGAGAGACATGGGGCCAGAACTGTACAATTTTGAGTTGTTTTCCCCCAGGACATTTGTGAGGTGAAAACTGTGTGGCAAGGAAGGGGGTTTTAATTTGGCTTGTTTTTGTGTGTTTCAGTGGAGAACGGGGCCAGCAGTTTGCTGTCCCAGTTACTGGACTACAATGTCAAGGCCAAAGAGACAGAGGAGTTGCTGGAAATGATGGAGGAAGAAAGGTGAGCAGTGCAAGGAGTGACTTTTCTATTTGTATGCATCCATTGGCTAGTTGCTTAGAGTAAGGCTTTGCCATATGCTGTTTTGAAAAGTGATGCATGATGGAGTCTTTCATTGAGAAGTTCATGTGTGTGTGTGGGTTGCATTGATGCTGTGTGTGCAACTGTGTCTTTGTGTGTGTATCCATATTTATATTATATGTATGTATTTGCATTTATGTTTGCACTGTTTGTGTGTGTGTGCGCTCGTGCATTTGAGTGTTTATGTATGTGTTTGTGTGTGAATGTGTGTGTGTGTTTCTGTATATGTGTTTCTGTACGTGTGTTTGTACTCCTGGGTTTTAATTGTTGGACTACCACTAGGATCAAGGAGACAAAGTAAGTACTTGAAATGTTTAAGGCAGAGAGGTGAAGGGTGTGAGAAATGACTCATATGTGAGTGTTTGTGTTTTTGTTTGCGTGTATGTATTTATCTGAGTTTATATCTATGTATGTCTGGGAGTTTGTCTCTTCGTAAGTGTTTATATATATATGTGTGCGTGCATCAGAGACAATATTTAATTGTTAAGATAACAATTTAAAAAATGTATGTTTACATGAACAATGGATGCACTTCCAATTTATTTGTTAGTTAAAGTGATTACAAAATAAATGTGTTTTTAGAATATTTTTCAAAGGATTTTGATATCAATATTTGCTTTCAGGATGAAGGAAGATGATTGGTTCACAGTTAGATGGGAGGAGCTACAAAATCTTCGGAAACAGGAAGTCTTAGGTAAGATGCTCATCTTTAGGATTTATTCACGCATTTGATTCAGTGTTATGGGGTCCAGGATATTTCTTTTAAAAACTGTTGGGCATCCTCCTCCAAACAGTACAATGTTGGGTCTGCTGAAAAGAAGTTATGACTTTGATTCTTGGCTTTGTGGGATGGAAAGTTGTATCCTCCAAAATGAGAAACAGATAAACATTTTTGTTATTCTCATTCTGTGTTCCCCCTCTAAATCTGAGGGGTATTTGTTTTTGTTTTGTTTTTGTAAAGTGTTTCACGGCGCTCGCAACTGCATAGGTCATATGAGCGCGCGGGATACATTAAATATTTTCAGTTGGTAGGAAATTTTTAATTTTGCCCGGGTGGCGGCCGAAGCCTACTCTTATCGATTTTAGACCACCGAGGGATCTTTAACGTGCGCAACTTACACCCGGGCCCTCCGAGATTTTTCGCCCTTGTCCGAGAAGGCTAGGTGTAGATCTTTCCTACCAGAAGATCAGGGGTGTGGTAGAAAGACAGCTGTAAGAAGGAGTCAAGGAGTAACAGTAGAAAGGCTGCAGAAAGAGTCAGGAGCCCAGAGGAGGGGGCAAGGGAGGTGAGGGGGTGGGGGCAGAAAGAGGAGACGAAAGCAGACGACAGAATATTGCTAGAGAGCAGGAAAGGAGATGAAAGGAGACAATTTTAGAGAAGAAAATTTTTCGGTCGCTACCCGGATTCGAACCCGGGACCTTTGAATGAGAGGCCAACACCTTAACCTCTAGGCCACGAGAGCCCTCTGAGGGGTTTGGGATCTAAGGTTGGCAAATGGTTGGAGGCAGCACTGGCCGTTGTTGTTTCTGTCTTTCTATCATGCTTTGTCCATGACTGTCATTGTGTTGATGTGCTTCTATCATTTTCAAGGCTAGAGCAGAGCTTTACTTATGATATGTGAGGCAGCATGGTGGAATCAGGCTCTCGTCAAAATAATCAAAGTGAAGAAACTTGCCTTTTTCGGCAGGTTTGTGAATTTTTATCAAATTTTTGTTTTTGGCTCAACTCTTTTCATACCCATTAAAGAACTCATTTATGAGTGAATTTTTTTGAAAAACGCTGATTATAGGTACAAAAAATGTAAATTTTTAGTTACCACGGACTCTTTAGCTAAGGAAATAACTAATCTTTCGCGGCCATTTTCTCATTAATTTTACCTCTGAAAATAGGTGAAATATCTCGACTTGTATTCAAGATAAATGGATATTTTTTTCATCCATATAAAGACAAGTAAACAAGCTTTGAGATGATACCAATAACTCTACATGCCCAAAAATTGACGAGAGCCTGATTCCACCACGCTGCCTCACATATGTTGCTTCTCGCACTATTTCAAGTAGCTTTGTCACTGTGTTTTTATGTAATTTGTGATTTTTTTTTCTTCAGATGCCATGAAGGTGATGCTGACGGAGTTTGCCGATATCGAGGAAGCAAGGCTGGGTGTGGAGATGGATAAAGATGAGACACGACGTGATGCTCTAGAACAGTGAGTGACAGTTTTTGTGGGATTTAACTTCTGAAGTAAGAACCTCCCCATCCCACCTCCCGACCCCACACCCCCTTCCCACGCAACTATCAGTACTGAAAAAGCAGACAGTGCCCTTTGAATAAAATGAATAAAAATCAGATAATACAACTTGATTCATCCTTGAAGATGTTGTTCTGGCAATGACATAAGAATAACAAATCAGGTAACACAACAAGAGCAGCAAATCAATGTTGAGCAATGTACAACACAGGCACTGTTGTCTGTTGGGACAAAAATGTGCTGCGGGTGGTTGGAGGGGGCCACCAGTTGGTCTGTCTGCCTGTCTTGCTTTTTCCTCAAGTATCACATGACAGATATGGCATCAGTGTGCTTTTCTTTCTGCAAACAGATAAGTGCCAACTTCCTGTAGGGTCCTGGGGTGGAAAAGGATTGGTCATGCGCAGAGATTTGAAGCCAACGGTTTTTTGGTTCATTTTTGTTCTGTGATGTGTTGTCCTCAGAGAGACACTGGATGAGGGTCAGATGGAGAGTCTGATGTACCATAAAGACGTTGAGCACCAGAAGATGGTGCGGAAGCTGGCAAAAGAGGTGAGTCAAGTAACCGATCATTGAAACCTCATAGCATGGGTTGGGGGTGCTTTGATGTGGCCTGCTCCTTGTACTTTTCTTTGAGGGTTTCTTTCCCCCACTCTGTTCTTTCTTAAATGTGGCTATTGTTACCCAGACAAATCGCTATAAAGATCTTCTGCCAAAATTACCTTGAATCTGGTCAAAGGTTTATGCAGTAACTTACCTCGTATTGTCTGAATGACACCTGATCTGTGTGTGTGTGTGTGGGGGGGGGGGGGAGTAGGTCTGTTTACAAGTATGTGAAAGAACTAATATTCATGCATGAGGACAAGGCATTTTAAAATGGTTTTCCTCATTTTGTCACTCATAATTGTAAGGCTTGTAGAAAGACTTGTAGATAGTCTGATGTCAAAGTCACAGGAATGTCATTATAGAAGTACGAGTGTGATGAATCGTCTTATATTCATATGATGACTTTATTTTATTTCTTTGTCCCTTTGTCTGTGACCAGGATGCCCTTCAGAAGGCAGCATTTGAGGCTCTGATGTTCTCCCGCGACTCGGCTCACTCGAGGATCCGCAGTCAAATCATGCTCATTGAGAGTGAGTTAGCTCAGCTGACGACACTGGAGATGGACCAGCAGGCTGCAAGGGTGGAACACCAGATTGTGAGTGGACCTTGTGTGTGTGTATGTGTGTTTGTGTGAGGGGGGGGGGCACC